GACAAGATCGGAGTGCGCATATCACGTTCTAATGTTGATTGCAGGTCATGGGAATCGAAGGCGGTTGATCGGTTTGGATGGCGCGATCTGATCACGAAGGCAGTTGCCGAGGTGCAAGAGAAAGCACTCATGCATGCGGAAAAGAAGCGGCAAGTGCGGAAGAGGCAAGCACCGATGGGTTGTACTCCATCGACATCCAGCGCATGGTGCTGTAGCACATGCGGTCGCGAGTGCCTGAGTCAGGCAGGCCTAGTGAGCGATGAGCGAGGCCACTCGGGACCAACGTCCAAACGACGATGGGTGCTGCTCATAACGTAAGCAGAACGGGCGCAATGTTGCTACGTACGCTGCATTCGCTTTACTAACTGCGTGCTTGTGTGCTCAGTTTCTTCATTTCAGATAGTATGTTTGCTATCTTTTAATAATGCACATTTTCTTACCTCATTTATCCTCTGTTTAAATTGCATATGTCGCATAAACGAAAGGTGCTTAACTTTGTTTGTATTTTTTCTTTCTAAAAGTAGTCGCCCGCTTAATTTTTCATACACGTGTCTGCCATCCTGAATCTATCACGGATATTTTGAGTATCCAATTACTTCATATGCTAATTTAACGGCATGTCCGTACGGTGTATTCGACCTATTTTATTCTACATTTCATTTCAAGTAATTGGTTGAAGGTTGGCATCCCCGGTGTGGATGCATTTGATGTGCACTTTGATAAGGCGCCTACCTGTCTATTACCCACTACCTCGTCAATACTGACTCCAGGAAACTGCTGGTCGTTGTTGGAAGGGACGGGGTGCACTGTCCACCAGATCGTGCTATTCTCGAAATGATTCCACGCAGTCAGTGTGGAACGGACTACGGTCCAGCCACCGCCTTGTGTGCGCTCGATTTCCAATTACAGCGTGCTTGTGTTTGCCTGTGTAGGAGTGTGGGCCGGCTCCGTTGATGAAACGTGTCCCCCATCCACAACGCTCCCAGTCTTATTCTTTCTGGTTTACACTGGATATGGGGTGTGTGGATGGAGCCGTGTGGCGTAGCCCAAGCCACCCATTGTCCCTGTGTACGTGCAGGCGTCCAGTGGCTGTCCTATAGAGGCCGCAGTGATCAAATCCGGAATCCGAGGCCGCCGGCGATTTGATATGAGAGGATTGGCTGTTTGTTAAAACGAAACTAGGTTCTACGGTTGGTGCTTGCTCAATAAATTTACACTCGGTGCCTTGGAACAGAAATACCAACAAACTATATACTTCCTTCGGCTATGCATATTGGTATGGATTCATAGAGCATTTTAAATTCCGACTAAGTATGGGCAGTCATTTGTGGGTGCAGCCCCATCAATAACTTGGAAAACTGTCCATTAAATTTTTGTTTATTTCTCATGCATTTGGTACTGTGCGCCAGCCCACTTCATTGCCGATAAAGCGTTTCCGTTTTGACCGATATTTCGAAACATACTTCATTCTGATTGCACCGTAAGTCGTACATTGGCACATAGCATTGTTTTCTTAGGTTTCGTTCTGCTGACAACTGCTCGTAAGTGATTTGAATGTACAAATATGGACAGCAGTTTCCTAACTATAGTTGGGCTATTTGCCTTGAATGAACAACGTTTAAATCTAGTTTCACTGAACGGTGATTTGTTCATTGCAGACGAGGATGCCGGTTGCGGGAATTGAACTGGACATTCTTTAAAGGCTATCAGTGAATAAAACCCTCGCCTCTGTCTCCAATTTCCTGAATACAAATGCATTCACTTGTAATCATTAACTTTTCCGTAACTTAATTAATAATGGCAAATGTGATTTATTTTTCAACTGCTTACCTAGCCTCCGGTAGATACTGTCGTTGGATTAAAGTCTCCCTAACCTTAAGAGTAACGCAGAATGTAATCACCGAAGCTCCTTAGGTCCATAAACAAATGGAGATCACTTACAGGTAACGTAGCCTATTGTGGGGTGCTGTTTTTTGAAGCTTTCCATGCACTTGAGATCTATCATTAAAGCTTTTTTCAAGGCACAAGTTATGGGATAACAGAGCTAGGCAGACCGCTCATGCTTCATAAGATATGTCGATAGGAAAGCTCAGTTGCTGTCATAACTGGTACTCACACTTTCGAAGGATACTCGCCTTGCGATCATTTTGTTGGTGAGGTTAAGCCAAGCGACGGTGCGCCCGAAGCGAGACTATTCCGGTATTTCGCACGTATGCTAATTAAGTTGGCAAAGCGCCGGCTGACTTGGGACAATGCAACTTCGCACCCATCTTATATGCATGACCTACATTCCACAGTGTATGTTACCAAACATTTTCAAGGCTGTATAGAGTAGAAATTCGAACCTTGATAGAAACACTTTGTGGTTTGTCAACGTTTCGAGCCCCACTAAATTTAACATTGGCTCTGCACAGACCTCTCTCTTTCCACGGTGATTGTCAAGTTGCACTCGAAGATTGTCTGTATCGATTTACTGTCTCACTGGCAAGGTCGGGAATGCAGGCTTATACCGATTGTATGGCAAAATTTCAACTTCATTGAAAAAGAAAATTTGCCTTATCAATCAGTTCCTGAAAAATGAAGCCTCCTTCCATGCTAAGCAATATGTTCTAATGGTTGGCAGGGTATGCCGATGTTATTAATGATTACAGGTCTCATAGTGGATTTTTACTTTGGTTAGATACGTAGTTTAACTTGATCAGGTCAGTACAACATTCTTGGCCTTGCGTCATCGCGTCGGTCAGCAATGAACACAATTGCTGCTTACTGGAACTTGACTCAGTGTTGAAGGAAATTGGTCTTTATTTTCCATAGGTATTCAGTTGTCAACTTCTCGAAATGGTACTTGTTCAGTTCTTAACTAAACTGTGTCTTATTGGTAACTTGCAAAGCATTCCAAGAAAATCCAACAACCGGATTTTGTTTCTTTAGGAGGGAATTTATTTCTCATGTATGTGTCCACCATTGATGGTCATCATCATTGAAGCAGCTGTGACTTTACTGCTTAATCAAACTGTTGCATTGAAATGATAAAGTGCTGCAAGTGGGGAGCCCAAACCCGAAGTTTAATACACGTTGCATTATTTGGAAGATTTCTTGACGTACGGAGCCTACGCTTACATAAATTTCAGCAGGAGAATAGGTATCTGGATCACTTGGCTTATACTATGTATTTGTCGAATAGGCAGGAATCAGTTCAAGAGTACAGGATGACCGGCAAGGTTTTACGTAAGCATACTTTTATTAGATTCTTGAATTATGTCTTGGACGAAAGAGAAGCTCCACTTTTGTTCTGACCTCAATCTTTTTCACATACCTCTGCGCTAATAATGAGTGATCCGGTGTCGTTTCGAGTTTTTGAGACTGTGACGCAGAGATGGTCCCCATTGAGTTGAATACGTTAATGACATATCCTCATGCTCAGTTTTTGCTTGGTCCTCACTTTGGGGCGTGGATGTTACTCGGCAGGAGATACGTAAAACGAGAAAATGGCTTTGGGAGCTGTTTGGATAATTTGAGGGAAAAGCTGTCCCAAAATTTGGACATTCTATTATTAGTCAAGATGAACTTGCTTAATTTTAGGCATCACTCAAAATGAAATGGTGTGGCACAATTAAGGCAATTATCGATTAACACAATTGCTGTACAAGTAACGCCCGCCAAATATATAGAAAGCGCTTTAGCGACTTCAGAAAATTGCAGGTCCATGGATGGACCTCAATCCTTTAGTTTCTACCCCGTCTATTGCGTGTCCAAAGTATGACACAAAGTTGAAGCCAAACCTATCTAACCACAGTTTCGATAGCTTAGTCAAATATGCCGCGGCCGTTATGCAAATAACTTTGGCGTAAATCGAAATAATTCTGAATGTATAGTGACAGAAAGCCGGCCAGAAATGGACGGTTGTTTGGAGGTCTTCCAGATACATAACGGATGTCTGGATGTGCCTAAGGGAGACGAGTCTAACATCGACTCATGAAGATTCCGTAACTTTTAATGTTTACACTGGTACTGTTATAGCGACCTAATTGGCTGTGCGTGTCATATATATATATATATATATATATATATATCCACGAACTTTATGCAGTGTCTTCAGAAACACAGCAGCAAAAAAGGAAAACGCGTGCAATCCAATGCCAACAAATGAACAGTTCTTTTTGGGTACTGCCTGCGTCATTTTGAGTCATTTGGTATTTTATGGATTGAGAAATCAGTAAGATGTTAACACCCTTTTCGTCCTCCCAACCGGTTCGTCTCTAACGTAGATTCACTCTCGTGGTTAGAGTGAGAATAACACGTTTTCAGTAATTTATTCCGTGATTTCACATTTTGCGGCTTCATGATGTACCGAGTGTATTTAATGTCCTGAGCATGCACGAGGTCAGATACCTTGTCTGGTTGTAAGGTAGGAGATACAACTGTAAAATGGAGACTTTTAATCTCACATAAGCATCTCCCAAGCTCACGCACGGCGATGCGTCAGTCCCCGAATAATTTGTAGAATGAAACCTGTCAGTACCCTTCCTTAATTAGAGTTCGTGGTCAAGCTATTTACTGATACCAAATCTTCTTCGATCTAGTGCGTTTAATTGTAATAGAGTTTATTTATGTGAACTTAGAGCAACTATGCTTTCGCAAGGTGCATATGGGGGTTGGCGCCCCAATTCAACCCAGGTGCCGGCAGCTTCCAACGATGCTAAAAGGAACGGTTCATGAAAAAGCCGTACACAAACCAAAGGTTTAGATAACCGATTATCAGCTATGATCCTGAGTCTAACCAGCTTTGACCACCAAAACGTGGTTCAATCCCCATCGGCGATCAGCTGGTCCATGTGCGTCCGATGTGTTGACCTTGCTCAAACTGCGTGCACGCTGATTGGTGCTGTCAAATCTGCTTCCCCTGGGATTGGGCCACAAGTACGAATAGACAGCCAATCAGAATTTAGCACTGGAAAATGAGCTATAAAAGGTGAAGATCAAGACGGCGCAAATTACTGATGACAGCTGGTATATTTTGCGGCGTTCTGATGAACTCGACACCCTTAAAACTTGCATCTGTTGGATTACCTGTTAACCATCCCAAGGATGTATCTATCCACGACGAACTAGAGGTGAGCCAAACTATTTACATTTCACGCAAAATCGTTTTTATCATATGTGACTAGTTAAGTTTCCATATGTACGAGGGGTTTCTTTTCTGTATTTAATACCTCTGTGAAGCATACATCCGGGATTGGTGCATTTGTTCATGCCAGCCGAGTCTCGGGGCATGCCTGTGAAGTGAGCCCGCCGATTGAAATTACAAACCCAGTTTCTAAGCCAATCTGGTTAAAACTGAGGCTCGCCGACAGGGTTCTCCTTCGGGTTGTATGGTTAAGACCACCATGTTGACACACCTTGATAACAGGTCGGGATGATGTTTACACAACCCAAATGTGATCCCGGGGATACAGTGACAGTTCTGGTTGAACGATTGGACCTGGATAGCAACGTGAATGTCGCCAGCTCACGTGATTAATTTCGTAAACTTGGCACCACGCCGGCCGGCTGAAGTTATGAATGGGGTTGGTCTCACTAAGGCATTAGGCAGGTCAGGTGGTTAGAATCTGCTTGGCAGGTGCATCGCGAGATAATTAAGTTAGATTCATAAAATGTGTATTGCTTGTAAGCTCTCCCGTAAATACACCGGTTCCTCGTCGTAGCCTGCACAGGTGGATAACCAATCGTCTCGTTCGGGCACGTTTTTGGTCACTTAGTTAGAAAATGTGCATTTGAACATATATAGCGTAATATGTCGAGATGTTAGTAAATATTATTATCACCGTTTTTGTACGTCTACTTTTTGGTAACATCGCAATTTCAGTCAGCCCGATGACGGTATAATAGCTTCTTGCGGACGATTTTTATGCCCACCTCTGTACCATATAGATATTGTTAAGATTTCGGTCAAAATTTTACTTCGGTTTAGCCTTATAACATTGGTTGATTAAGTTGAAAATCGATTTCCGTTTATAGTTAACGGTATTTGCAACCAGATAGTCTTTAATTCAAAGGTGTGCTGGAAGATAAATTCCGAGTGACCGACATTTGTGCTAAATATGTCCAACCGGGAAGGACAGGAGCACAAAGTGGTCATGCAGAGGGCTCGGGCGGTCATTGAATTGGATGTATTTCTGTTAGTGCTATGGGGGTTAGCACTAGCGTGAATATAGTTTCAATATTTCGTGTCTTATTTGATATCAAACGAGCTGATTTTTATTTTCTAGTTTTCTCTGGAACGATATGCAACATGGGTTGCACAAGCGGAACCACAGACTGCAGAGTTCACTCAGTTCCGAGAAATGTGGCCTGCCAGGTTCATGGAACTTTGCAAATTTCACTTGTCGATGTTGATTGATCTGCCTTTGGAGTTCTTCGACTCGACTGAAGATGATTTGTGCCGTAACAATTCTTCTAGCCGACATACTTCCGACTACGATCATGAAGCGACCTTGCGAGCATTTTATGGGACCGTTCGTTGGCCGAGGTTGCCATGGTCTCGATTGCTCAGCGGTGCACACCATTCATGTCCCAACTCAGTCTCGGATTTGGAACCGCCTAGGTCGACAAGTGAGTGTGTTAATGTCTGTGACCCCATTCCGATCAAGAGTTCAGTACGTTTGCTATGATTTATGGCAGTGCATACCTATCGTGCCATCAATTGTCTGCATTCGCGGTCCGCTGTTCATTCGGCGAAACACGTTCTGTTGATAGGATGCGTGCTTTCTGATCAAAAGACCACTCGATCTGACCTTGATACGGTGTCCCGTAAAACAGAGGTAGATTGTTTGCGCAAGTCTAGCGAATGAGATAAATCAGCTAGCATATTCGTAATTTACCTAAACTTTACTTTCTGCCTTCATGTCGACATCTGTGCAATTCTTTTCGGTAAAATCAGACTGAATAATCGATTTATTTTCAGGCTTTCTTGCTGGCCGTGCTATCACAAATGCATTTGAGAACACTAAAGGAGGCTGTGCCAACTCCCCTTTTCTAAAGAACATTCTCATCCTGATGGAAACATTGGACAGTAAGACGCGTAAGTTAGTTTCTCCTCTATGCTGATAATATCCGATTGTTTTATCTTGCTTTATATGCTGTTTACGCAGACGTGTCTACTATCCACACACAGATCTCTCAGTAGAGGGAATTTTTCGGAAAAGCGGAAATGTTGTCCGTCAACGCACGATCAAACAACTCATCTTGGGCCACAACAAACCCTTCTCACTAGAAGAACTGAACGAACCAGGCGATGGGTCTGTTCGAACGTGGACGGCAACCGGGCGAACCAAATCGACGCAAACTACCAGAAAATGGATTCAGTCTTCATTTGGCCAACAAAATGAGGCGACAACACGCGTGAATGTGCACGATTTGGCGGCTGGTTTGAAAGCGGCGTTGCATGACTTGCCCGAACCTTTGCTGACCCACAAGCTGTTGCCGCTGTTTGTGCAAGTATCAAGTAATTTTCGTCTTTATCTCGAAAATGTGTCTTCTCACATAAAGATCTTGATATATTGCTGATAACTGGTTCTGCTACCCCATAGGTTTGACCAATGGCCGAGTGGATGAACGCGGTAACTGTGTCAAACTTCGACCAGTGGAGGAGAAAATCGCCAAGGCGAAGCAACTGAAAGCTCTTCGTTTGCTATGCCTTCTCTTACCTGAACCACACATGGTTCTTTTCAAACGGTTACTGCTATTGCTTGAACATACTCTGGAACATACGGAAAGCAACCGGATGACTAAGGAGAGTCTCGGAACCATTTTCGCTCCCTTGCTTCTCTCGACAAGCAAAGTAAATACTAAAGATCCTTGCGCGGCTTTCATTCAATGTGACTTTTCGCGAACAATTGATAATAATAATTTTCCCTTTCACAGGTTCCTCCTCGTGACCTTCACATTCAATACGACAGTTTGGCCAAATTGGCAACAGTGCTAATCTGTCAAGGTGCAGGCCTCTGGATGGTGCCGAAAAGTTTTGCGCAAGATCTGCACAAGAATCGCATATTGCTTGAGGCCGCTACCTCACTGAGTTACGGCAAGAGGGATTCTCACACAGACTCATGTTCTAGCCACAGCTCACAGCGCAACCTAGGCTTGGACTGCTGTTTGGAGACACATTCACTACAACGCTCCACATCTACCGACTCTGGTTTGGGTTGGACGGACGGAGGGCAGAAACACTGCGAGTCAGATGTCCCCATTGTGACTGGCGCTCGGGTCAAACTAGCCGACGACGATTTGCCTCCGTTGGTTACTTGTGTCAAATTCGCAACTCCGTCCAATGTGGATATGTCTGTGATGAATGTGAGGTCGCCAGGTCTAAATGAGACCGACTACGCTGTGGCCGAGTTGTACGCACTTGTACAGTCCATGTCAGATGATGATCCCAGAAAGCGCCGTCTCATCCACCGGTTCAACGCCGCCAATGGTGGCTTAACCCCATTCGTATGCCCTGTAAACAACAATGCAAGCCATCTCACCAATGAGCAACACAATTCCCCCACATGTCTACACGCAATTTCTGGAAGTTTCTGCAGGCCAAATACCAGTAATACCGCATACAGAGCTGCAAAGAACCTTCGATCTTCCCTGCGAGTAAGTCACCAGTGTTTGGTCAATTTGTGTTCTTACACAGTGAACTTGTCAACTATTATTCCATTTCTATTCCGTTTCTTCTTCAGCGCAAGTTGGTGATCCGAAGTACTCTGAATGTCTCGAGCTGTTTCAAAAGCCCATCCGTCATAAAAGAGGTAGGTGGTATTCACAAATGGGCGCCGTCAATTTCGCCTAGGTCGCTTTGAGTAGCATCATCGTCTTTTCCGTTTTCTTTTTCATACAAGCCACCTGATGAATCTCGTTTGGAGCATGACGTAGTCGCTGGTCCTAATCGAACTCCCATGAAACCAATCACGAGTGTGCCAATTTATTCTGTTGATGATTTGTCCAAAGAGCAAGATGGCGAGAGCTCGCCAATATTTGACGCCATTCCGATGCCCGACCTAGAAGATATTGATGAACCGTTACTTGTGGCGGCCACTGTTGTTCGACCTGAACCTCGGTATTCCCAAATCTCAACAACTTCGGTGTCTAGTACCGTTGCTGGGGATTTGTTCTCCTGCTGCCCTTTGGTTGGATCCGTCGTATCGCCATTCGGGAAAAGAAACACCCATGTGTCCAAGTTAAAAACACCCGATCAATCGAGTCCTTCCGTGTCGAGCGGACTTCACATGATCAAAAAGAGGTTACGATATCTATCGCCAGCTGTGAGATCACAGAGTCCAAGTACATCCTAAGCATTCAAAAGAGCTGGTCGGAAGCGCTGTCCCTCATACATATTCAAATGGGCGCAAAATCGAATACCGTAAAGGAATCAACTGCACCCCTACTCCGGAGATCGGAGTGTCCGCGAATAAGCATGCGGCAGCGGAGAATTCAGGATCTAAAGGAGGTTGATTTTGCCATAAGCATCCTGTTTGCATCTGCTTCTGCTTCCACAGGTTGGCACAAGGAGGAGTCACGATACTCCAAACCGACTACTCAAACAAACCTTCTGATATTCGGCTATCGTACTTTAGCACATGCAGTTGAAAAGCCCTGCCAATCCACCATCGTTCTTCGACGAATGCAGACCATGCCAATCATAAAGAGGACAAGAGGAGTATCGTTGGTCTGATGATTGAGAAGTTGGTGTCTGCAAAGGAGTTTTGAGCAGGCACACGTTAACATAAGTTAAGCAGAAGCAGATGCAGTTTGGCAAGGGCGTCCTACCTACTTCTCAGAATCCTTAATGAATTTGGACCTTCAGGGCTGAAGGAACAAGAAGACGTGACTCCTCCGTGTGCCAACCTGTGGAAGCAGAAGCAGATGCAAACAGGATGCTTATGGCAAAATCAACCTCCTTTAGATCCTGAATTCTCCGCTGCCGCATGCTTATTCGCGGACACTCCGATCTCCGGAGTAGGGGTGCAGTTGATTCCTTTACGGTATTCGATTTTGCGCCCATTTGAATATGTATGAGGGACAGCTCTTTCTCTTTTTTTATTTTCTATTTCCCCGTCCCTCTATTTTTCGATGTAATTGCAAAAGAATGAGAGTAAACTCCCCCTATCTGCCTCATCGTTTATTTTTTCCACTTGATAGGACAGGGTAGACACATGACAACATCCGGTCGTGCATGGGTGAATCTGGAGCTCATCAGCAGATTGTATGAGACACTTGTTAAGTAAAATTGGCCGAGACGCCAATTTGTCACTGACACTGGGAGCTGTCAGGTAACACGCGTGTGGTGTGCTGTGTTCCTCCGCCCCTCGATAGCGCCGACCTACGTTGACATCTTGTAGGCTAGCGTTGATCTCGGTTGGATGCGTGGTTGACCTAATCTAGTGCCGCCCAGCATGATACGGTGAGTAAAGAAACGCCCGATGACGTTCCCACCACTGAGGAATCCGTGTGATGTTTGCGAATGGCAAGTCAACAACACGCTACCGTACACATGAATAATGCAAGAGGTGGTTGCTTCCTGTCACTTGGGGAGATACGTATGGGGACACGAGCAGATTGATGGTTCCACGTGTAAAATCACCTGATGGAAATCGCCAAAGCCTTCCATTGCAGGCGCGTTGATTGCGAGGCAAATGGGTAGGGCGTCTGAAGGAAGTGACTGCCAGACCGTAATAAGTCGGCTTTTTACCTCCGCAGCTACAAAAGTTGGCAGCGCTTCTCCCGCTTGTTACTTAACGTTGGTGAATGTGTTCACCGTGCAAAGCATAGTAACTCCGAAACTCCCGTATTTTAGTAGGAGCAGAACCTATTCAGGTGCGCAGCGCGACGACAGGGTGCAACGTTTTATGGATAACTAGCAAAGTAGAGCTGTGTACTATTTTGCATTTTGCAAATTACACATACTCATGAGGATACCAGGGTGGCGTAATAAGTTTCCGGATGAACACAAGTTTAATTTTTAACCGAATACTTACTACATTTCCTCGAATTATTGTCCAGAAGCGTTAACACATAGTTCCACGCTAGATATGGATCAAATAGTTCAAGGAAATAGTTGGACTAAAGCCTACTCGAAATGGACTGCGTTGCAGGTTATCCAGTGGTTGGATTATAGTAAACGTGCTTTGAAATGGACCCTCCAACTAAAAATATTCACGGAATAATTTATGAATTTGCTCGCACAGGACAGCACCTTCACGGGCAAATATTAGCCAGATATGAGAATAAGGTAAGGGATCCGATAGGTGGAACACGGTCAAATAGGTCCGTCAATTGTGTGAAAACAGATATGATATGAAATGGGAAATCACGAGGAATTGATTATGCACAGTCCACTGGGAAACGGAACCAGAGGGCATAGTTGGTTTACAGTGAGATGTCTACGGTGCAGCTCCTGAGTGTGATAAATTGCATATTTTGTAGTCCATTTTGAGGCTACGTCTTTCCCATCCACCAAATCGATCAAGGTGGATGGAAAAGAAATTTAAAGGTACGGGTAGCTTAAAATTCAGACGCACCGTCGGTATTATATAACAGCGGTTTTCTGTCTGATATCCTTGTTCGTTAAATGTAATGAACAGTGAATTAAGGCAGGTTATGGAACAGTGCTTAACAAGCCTCAATGGATGATCTGGTGGGTTTATCCAAAATCATTACTTGCAAAAGTAGGGACTTATTGTTTTAATGCAGTAGTCCTGCACCCCGTGTCGTTTCACAGCAAAAGTAAGTGACCAATTTTACTTGCCTGGAGAAACCCAAATCATCCTGAACCAGCACGCCCAAGTCGAGTTTGTCAACCGTGAAATGTGCCTTCGAGTTTTGTCATTTCCGCGCCCACGTTACCCATAAAATTAAAACAACTCGACGATGCTTTAAACCACCAACATTACTTGGGCTGATTTCTATTCATTGAATGACGACGTGACGCAGGCAAATGTTGTGCTCAAAAACCCCACGAAATCGGGATAGACGGCAATAACTTTTTGATACTCTGGATCCTATGGTGTGCCCATAGATGCGTTCTTTTATCTTTGTTGTACAACATATTTAAGCTGACGTTTTTCATATAAACCATACTATGGGACTTGTCGAGCTTTGGTTTTTTATCCGCATTACACCATTATTTCATTGTCGTGTTTGACGGAAGATCGCTGCAATAACTGCGTACTGAGACTGGAGGCGTAGGTGCTCTGGTGTCGTAGGGAAAGCGCCTTGTATTTGTTCACGTTGCTTTACAGTACTGTAGCTATTTCACAGTTAAGAAAACGATGCTTGATATTTCCCTGAATCATCCGCTATCGTTTGAAATCTTCTGCAAACATTAATACAACTGAATCAATCATCTTCAAAAAATATTCATTAGGTGTTAAAAACAAAATGGACCACGGAACTGATCTCTGAGGCACACTACACACACCCTTGGTGGGGTGAAGTAAGGAGCTCTGAACTCTGACCGCTTATTAAGGTTGAAAGAGAAGTAGCCGAGCAAGCTTAGGAGAAGGTCACTGATGCCGTAATATTGGAGATTGCAATGAAGAATTGGATGATCTAAGCGAACGAATGCTTTCAGAAATACCAGTAGATCACATCAGCGTTCTTTCCGGCGTCAGTTAACTAGGTCCAACTAAACGTTGCGCGGTTTCTGTCGAAGGAAACCACGCTGCTCGGGGCAGTAAAGTTGAATTTTAGCAGACGGAAAGCCAAGGCACCACAAATGATGAAGTACATGACTTTGGACAGTTAACAAGGAAGCGACACTGAGCCGTAGGTTGAATGGTCAATCTTGCTTCTTTTTCTGTGAATCGGTGAATTTTTCCCTCTCCACAGGGCAGGAGCCTTTTTCTAATCTAAGCGATGCTGGAAGAGCGGAGCCAAAGATTCTGCCAGTTGTCTTGTTGCTACTTACAATCAGTGCGCGAATGGTATCAATCTCGGGGGAGTCGTGGTTGTCCAGATATGTCAGCTTTTGCACTTCAGCTTCAGAAGTAAAGGTGATGTAGGTGATTCCTGCATGAAGGGCAACAAGGCTGGAAGACCGCTTAATGTTATGATCTACTGAAATGGGGGAGCTTATTGCGCCCGCAACGCGTTTGCTGCTTCTATAGATATTCATCTTAAAACAGCAGCCTTCCGGTACGGAGGGATTCTCTGCGTAACCTTACCAAGGTCATCGAGATAGTTGCACAACAGTTTGCAGTTAGTTTTGAAAGTTTTCACCATGTTTTGCCCCTGTTCGGCTTTGTCTGCTCGGAGCAGTTAAGTGAGTTGTTCACGGTGGGTCACGTATTTGTCCTGCTTATTTGGCGTTTGAGACGAGCTAAACTCACGCACTGCTGCATTTTGCACTACCATCGATATTCGAGTTCTGCTCCTTATAAAAGAAACTGTTTATCGCCTACTGCAAAATTTTGTCTCCAGAGCTTCCTAATCAGTCCTTTGAACTTTCTGATATAATCGAGCCAGGCAAAGAATGACCAGGTTATGGCGCTAACAAGGCGGGCTAAGCGGTCATAGCGTACAAAGAGGTGCGCCATCTCAGGGTTCGCATGTCGATATTCCGCAGAGCAGACTGAACTAAGACTAATGATTGCATAATCCATGCGACCGAAGGGACAGTCTGAAAAAGATGCATCATTCATGTGTCTCTGCTTTATGAACACAAGCTCCAGCACAGATCTGTTACCTGATGTGAGACACGTGGGTAAAATGCCATGGCTGTAAAGTGGAACACTGGTACTGAGCTCTTGCAGATCAGCGTTGAATCATTCTCTCATCTTTGCAGGGATTTCTAAGCAATGGACGTTGAAGTGACCCACGTAAGTGTATTTTTCCTTCAGAGTGCGTCTTACAGCAGCTGCTAGGTAGCAGTCCATTTCGAGTGTAGAGGGCGAGTGGTAAAACAAGATTATAAGACAAATGTTTATTTTTAATGTTCAGGCCCCAATACCCAGCATCTGGAATCTGTGAGTCCAAATCCTACATGGTCTCGCAATCGAAATCGCCTCAGTAACACCGAATTACCTTTCCTTTTTTGTTACTTTGTCGTGTTGGATGAGTACAATGCCAGTCAGCGAGATTTCAACTTCCGTCGTTTCAGCGTTTAATAATGGCTCAGTGATAACGAATCAATCATATGGCTTGGAAACCTGACAAGCCTTCATTTCGGCCACCTTATTGAAAAGGCTTTCTGCATTGATACACAAGCAAGCTAGTTTCTGAGTCTCTGGGGTGCCCACATGGGGCTATAGGAGTCAGATATTGGAGAAAGGAGACGGATGTGCAGTCAGCGCACAGTACCACATTTCGCTACACTGCCTGCCTCATTACAGCCAGTAAACGCCCGTT